CAGCCCACCACTGAAATGAAGACATTCTCTGGGGAGGTGGAAGACATGGATTTGTTCTGATTTCCTTCACCTCCCAAATGCTTCCTCTCAGACTTTCTATAAGCCCTACATCATTTTAACAAGCGGGAAGCAGACACGCTGGGAGACTTGAATCTAGACTCAAACAGCTCTATCCAAAGCTCCTGTCTTAAGGGACTGAAATGCTGGCTTTTTTTCATCTGGTAGCTCCCTCCCAAGGCTGCAAAATGAGATAGAAATTTAAAAAGGAGAGCTCGCTCTGCTCCAAAGGTGCTGCAGACAGCAAAGAGGAATAGAGAGATCAGACACATCTGTTACAAGAGGGCTCACAGGCTCAGCACAGGTAGTTCCACTGATCTCCCTCTGCATGGGGTACAGCTGCTCCTCTGCACTCTGGGTTACAGCCTGGGAGCCTCCAGAATCTCTGGTTGTATTCCCAGGCTTCTCCAAAGGGCTTGTGCACACAACCTGATGAACAGCAGCGTGCTGCTCTCCATCAGCACCCTCATTCCCAAAGTTCCCTGACGCTGACAAGTCCCAGTCTGCTGTAACTTAACTCCTGATGAATCTCTGAAGAAAAGCTACATCTCTTAAATCCTTATTGGAACAGCAGAGAGAGAGCAACTTCTGATTGCCCATCTCTCAGGCATTTCCAGCACACAGACCTTCCCATTACCACATTAATGCTGCCTGTCCTTCTGACCTGGTCTACAAAAACCACAGCGCTCTGGCAACTCCCTCTCACTGCCTGGCATCCTCCTCTCAAATCTGTGCAAGTTCAGCAAAGACAGGAAAATGCACTGTGTAAGACATCCCCGCAATCCACCAAGAGGTCGTTTGTACTCAGGATTTCCTGTGGCGCACATGTCTCACACAAAGCTACTGTACATTCTGATGGTCAAGGTAACAGCTTCTTTCACTGAGCAGTCTCCATGGAATATGAAATGCATTCACAGCCGGCTGCTGCTGAGGAGTTTGTGAATACAGGAGCTCAGAGGAGTGAAGGTAAATCTTCAAAGCCCACTTCACAAGAAGAGAGGTTTTCAGAGCTCACAGAACAAGGTCACTGAATAAACTATTTACAGTGAGTAACACACAGACAGTGAACAAGTGCCTGATTTGATCTGTGCTGCTCTTCCACTCAACAAAACCCAGCGTGGCAGGAAATGTACACGTGGCGTCGTGGTTAGAACAAGACACAGAGCAACGTCGCTTGGACCAGCATCTCCCACCACCAGGCCCATACTGCCAAGAAAGACAAATAAAAGCAGCATTTCTCTGTCACAAGGATACTGTCGTATCTAAACCACCAACTTATCAGATGAAGGTTGTCAAAAACAAGCATCCCCGTCAGAACATACCCTGTGAGCCACTACACTGATCTATGACCAAGAGCAACGGCGCTCGACTCGGTAGAGAAAAATTTCTCTTCAGTGCAAACCCAGTTATTCTTTTCCCAGGTTGTATCTGAATGCTTATATGCCATCAGCCTCAAACCAGGTTTCTTTTACAATAAATGGACTCACTGCTTTTCAACTGCACGCTCGGTGTTTCTGAGCAGAGCCAAGAATGATTACAACATAAGACAAAAGACGCCCTGTGCAACCTTATGCTTCATTCTCTCTGCATGATGAGGTTTAACCTTAATTTTCTGCAGCTGTAACCAGTGCTAAAGGTGCCTCAGAGGCCACACGTTGCTTGAGCATGGCAGACCAGGCAGTACCGTTGTGTTCCCATTAAATTTAACTCCATTTGCCAGCCACCTGCAGACAAACAGCATCTTTGTGAAGCCTGGGCAGACTGCAACTCTGTGCTTTGTCCCAGGCTGAAAATGCATTCAGTGAAGCATCGATTCCCCTGCTACCCTACCTGACAGTATATATGAAAACTAGATCTTTACTACTAAATGCATGCACACTAGTCACCATGGAGGGTACTAAATTTCAAATTAATACCTCCTCAGTTCCTTTGTTGTATCTGTCTACATAGGTACATGCTTTGATCCCAGAGTAAATGACATTTACTGTTTTCACCGAGGAATAAGCTGCCTTGCACTACTTCACATTTATCATGGGATACGATACACACACGTGGAGTTACCCCTGGGTACTGAATATGCTGTAGGTTCACAGCTGAGCTTGTCCCCATGATAATTTCTTCACTTGCCCACAGCATAAGCATGAGTTAGCTTGAGGTTAACAAAATAAAAATAAAATACAGTGAATACCACTGCACCGTGCATTGAATTAGGTGAGGTCAGCAGTGTGTATGCTAGCTGACTTTAAAAGTTTGCCTTTCAGCATCTTTTTTACTTTTAATGTGCTTTATTCACTTTTTAAAAAATCTGGAGATAGCTAACAGGTATTAACCACTTGTTCACACACACACACACACACACACATTATTCTGAGCTGTGACAAGATGCCATTGCATCTATAAGAGAAGTAACGTACTCTCGCTCCTTTCTACTTGACATACACCGTTACAAGACTCAAAATTCTTTTGTGAAAATTGAAGTAGAAAATGCCCATATATGTAATTTATACCCCTTTGTTAAACCCCTCCCACTGGATCTGATTTATCATGCTACGCTCCCTAATATTAAATGCCGTCATTAGGCAGGATCTCACACTGCTTCAGCCTCAGCACACTGGCTTACTGAGGAAGCTGCAGAATTAAACCCAACTCAAACACTGATTTCGGCACTGACGAAAGAAGCCGCCGCAGCGATGCTGGCCCCTGTCCACAGCACGTGCACTGGCGGTGCAGGCTTCCTGCTGGTGCTCAGCCAGCGCCTCAGCCTGCACGAGCAGGAACCATCTGCAGGGATGAAAGAGGAGTTCAACTCGCAAATTTACTCCCAGCCTTGAGAGTGGCCAGACTACTCTCTCCTCTCCAGGAACCACTAAATAATACAGCATATGCAGTCTGCTGAACAGGCAACCTCTGTTAGGGGCAATCCCCATCTCCACGTGCTTTGCGGTTTCTCATTTTCACTACGTGTTGTCTTGAACGTTATTATCACAGACAAGACTTAATGGTGGATAATAAGGCAACTCCTCTGAGAATGCTTCTAAGGTATTAGCATCCTGGTTGCTCCCATACTACTACGCAGGTCTTAGTAACAATAATGGGTATAATCAGCTCTTATACAGCACTCATCACCCACATACCTTAAGAAAAAATTATAAAGACAGACAAAAGCTATTACCCCATTTTACAGACAGGGAAACTGAGGTATTGACAGGGAGATAATGATAAAATGTGAATGCCAGCAACAAAGTGAGGCATAAAGCCAGGTCTCCTGTGTCCTAACTGGGTGCTCCAGGCAACACAGTTGGAAAGCTCCATATCCCATTACCCATATACTGAGTCGCTAAGTTCCCTCAGCAAGGATCTTATTTTCCATTATGGAGTGAAAAATAAAACAAGCCACAGGGCTCTAACTCCTCCTCCAAGCCAGAAATTTCTATGGCAAATGATGCAGTGAAAATGCAGCCTGACACCCAGCAAAGCGGCAGCGGCACGCCAGCCCATCTAAGTGCCGGAGTGGTTAAATCACTCATTATTTGGGGAGCGTGGGGGAGTTGGAAGCGTTACTTCAACTGTAAGAAAACAGGCTGGCTGCTGATTAATCCAAAATGGTGCTGTTGAGATGAGAGACCTCATGGTCACTGGCCTCCAAGAGCAAAATGTAAAGGCTCAAAAATAAGCCACCTTCTAGTTCTCACCAGTGGCCGGTCAGGCCTTGGAGACAGGCTAACACACAGCTGAGGTCTGCTATTTTGTGTGGCCATTCCCAGCAACATAATACAGCTCTGAAACTCGTTAATACTAAGAATTAAAGCAAACTGAGCAAGTGAATTCCATGCCTTTTTTTTTTTCTCACTAATATATGAGACCAAGTGCTCAGCAGTCTCCTTTAGAGATATCTGTGCTGATCTCAAAATGTTTATGTCTGTCTTTCATTACTCTACACTGTCAATTCTAAAACTAAGGTTCAAAAAGCTCCTCAGCAAGACAAAATAAATAAAGCGTCAGGCCCTACTACTCTCCAGACAACAAATGACACCCAAGAAGATGAGCAAAAGAAATTAGGTGTTTTAGTTCTGTTTTTTTCACTCAAGATGACAAGGCACCAAGAAACCAGGACAGAACCAGAGCAGAGCTGCTGACCTCAGGGATCATGGCCAGTTTATCTTCATGTTTCAGATGCCGAGCTCAGCATTTCCGATGGATGCACAAGCAGCCCCAAAGCACTTGGGGAACTGCTCTGGAGATGCCTGTTGTCAAACCAAAAGTGGGCCAGGGCACGTCTCCCCCTCCCACATCCCCAGCAAGCCCTGCATCCCCCACCTGCAGAGCACGGCCTGGGACCTTCTCTCAGCCACCCCCAAATCACAGCCAGTGTGGTAAAGAGCACAGGGGGCTGCTCTCTCACATGCTCAGGACCAAACCATCCTCTCCAGATCACAGTATAGCACTTCATCCTGACTGGGGGCTAGCAGAGCCCCTGTGGGCTCTTCCCACATGGCCCATCATCTGGACCTCAGCGCACCCGCCCTAGCACAGAGGGAACATCCACCTTGTCCTGAGGGGGCAGCTGCAGCAGCTTTAAGGATGGCTGCACCCACCGAGAGGCTCATTCTGGTGGGGAAAACAGCCTCAGCCCCACCGCTCACCCCGAGCACCTTGACTTTGTGAAGCCCCCCTCCAAAATGGCCACCGCCCGCCATGGCTGCCCACCAAGATAGCGGCAGCTTCAGGTGGCTCCTGACGGCTCCCGCCCAGCTGGGCCCACGGCGGCTGCACCACCTCGCATCACCCCGGGGGACGCAGTGAGGCAAAGACCAGTCCCCGAGGCGCCATGCTTTATTCTCAGGGGTGGAGGAGAAAAGGAAGGGAGCTCTGGGGACAGGGCAGCCGAGGAGAGGGAAGGGTGTTTGTGGACAGGCATCCCAGCAGGGCCAGGCCGGGCAGCACTAGCAGGAGGTGAAGGTTTTCCAGAAGAAGTTCTTGCAGGGGGCCTTGCGGTCCCGCTGCGAGAGCTGACCCAGCCGCCCCAGCACCGCCCGCTCCTCTTCCAGCTTGCCCTCCTCTTCCATGTCCGGGGAGGCTGCTTCACGCCCCGCATCCACACTGTCCAGCAGGCCCGCCAGCATCTTCAGGATGGCCTCTTTCCGCACTGTGCTCTGTTCCTGCGGGCAGAGAGAAGGGGAACGTGACAAACAGAGGCCCTGTCCCCCACCGCCACTGGGGCAGGGGGTTGTTGCAGGGTGCGAACATCTCCTGTGAGGTCCCTTGTTTTCCTGCCTCCTCTGGTGCCCTTTCGGAGATGATGCTTTTGCCATCAGCAGAGCTGTGCTGGAGCTGGGGAATCTGTGGCTGCAGGTCACTCCTCCCTTCTCCTGTCCCCTGTCCAGCTCAGCTGGCCGGACAGGGAGAGACACACATTATAACTGGAAAAAAGCGGCTAACAAATAGGCATGAATTGGCTGTAAAGTCCCTTGCTGCCTGCACTAATTAAATTTCATTGAATGCCAAGCTGCCTTCTCTCCTAGTAAGCCCGTGCTCCCTTCACTGCTCTGACTGCGCAACATCCGGTTTTGGAAGGTCAGGGAAGAGACACAGAGTCCTGAGAAATATTAAATTAAGCAAACCAGGGGCTGCAACCTACCTTAAATTGCTGAGATTAAATGTAACAAAGGAGAGGTCTGGGTTGGTGGGGAGAGAGATGCCCTAAGTTTCTGAAGCAAAATATTTAATCAGTGGAGACAGGCAGCTTGTACTTCAAGAGCAAGAACCTGTATTTCGATGGCCTGACCTTCGGGGACGGCAGAATGAAAGAGGAGTTGCTGAGCTCCATCCCTTTGCCATAGCAATCTATGAAATAGCATAGCCTGTGTTTTGGGTCTTGAGGGATTTCTGGCAGTAACAAACTGTGAGTTGTCTTGCTTCTCTTAACTTTACATCCAGTAAATCTGAGGAGTTACCTCTTGCCTGAGTATGCGTGGTCTCTGATTCATTAGCGGGGACAGCTGCTACTGGACAAGCTGGGATAGATGGTTTGACAGGAACAGATCCTGTTTCCCATGCAGATAGCAATCTTGGAAGCACTTTTCCACGTCACTTCTCACAAATGCCGTGTTTACTGCTGGAAGTGCTGTATGCATCCCACTGGCTCTGTCAGCGTCAGCATTCACTAAGGACCACTTGGTGAGCAACTCAAAAGATGGATAAATACAGGCAGCAGCAATTATTTTGAGTTTACATTACAGAATGTTTATGGATGTATTTTTAATCACTTTCTTAGCTCTGTTAACTAACCCTGCTTTCACACCAGAGAAACTGAGACACATAAAAATTATGTTCCGTTTGTAGCAGAAAAAGAGATAAAAGCCAGCTTGTGTCCATCCTGATTCTTACTCCTGTGCTGCAAGTACTGGAAAGTCTTGAGCCTTACGGGGATGGACTGGGAAACTCGGCTAAAGGTGTCTCCTGGGTAATGTCTCCTAAGCTCCTTTCCTAGCTGTAAGTGCTGTGTTTTGAAATAACCTGCTCCAAGCAGAGCCACAGCAGCTTCAGCCTCAGGGGTGGGGCGGGCAGAGCTCAGCCTGCTGTTAGGGGATATTCCTCACGCATGATCGGCTGTGGCTGTGAGTGAAACTAGGCAGCTCTTCCCCTGCACTAATCCATCACTAACACCCTTTCTGCTTATAGCTGCTGCTGAGCTGCAAGGGATCAAGACTCCTTGGCAGCAGTGAGATCTGAGCAGGGCTGGGTTGTGGCACACTTTTGGGTAGCTGCTCAATTCCATGTCCTACATCAGAATGCACAGATCTTTGTTTTGCATTGTTATGTATTTTATGTAAAATCCTGATATTCTTCCTACCTAAAACATTTGTCTGAGTGACAGCAGAGGTGACTGTAGGGATTGGTTCATCAGTATCTAACAATTTTTCAGTTTGAAGAATGCTCTAAAGAGAACCATTATATCTACTATAATCATAGCATTATTTTGTAAGCAACAGCATGTAGAAGACTAAGAGTCTTTACACTTGAATTCATTTTTACCAAGGCCTTATTTACCAATTTATTCCCTACAACTTGCTTCTCTTTTCCCAGCAGCTAAGCATTTGCACCAGAAAGGGTTTACTTTTGAAGTACTGGATTTCTTATTGTAAGAATGTACAGCTGAAAGTTTATCGTTACCCCCAGAAGGGTTAATCCCAGCCAGCTGCAGAAGCCCTGATCTCTAACAGAAAGCTAGCCCTAGCACCTCACCCTGTATACGCTTCCTTCTCGCAGCCACTTTTGTTGTTAATGGGATGTGAGCCCACTCCTGAAGCAGTCAGACACTGATGGATGAGCTGGAGCCAAGGCTAAGACAGAAAAAACGACGTGGATATGCACAAAGGAGAAGTCAGAGCCTTTGAAACCAGCACTGAGAGCCTTCACTGCAGGACTGAAATAACAGCAGCCTTACAGATACAGCTGCGAGCAGGATGGGCAGAGCGCGGGGTGACAAACCACAGCACAGAGCAACCTCGGGGATGGAGAGGAACGCGCAGGTGAGAAAACTGCGGGGCGAGGGCAAGCAGAGCAGAGAACTTGCTAGTGATTGTGTTATGCTATTGCTTCCTACCCCTTTGGCCTCTTAGGGAAATAGTCCAGCAAAACAAAGTTATTACAGTGCTATAGCCATTATAATATTAGAGTTTTGCCAGTTGGTAGATAATTATATTGCTATAATAAGTTCTGCCACTGCATAGAGCTGTGCTGGTTCAGAGTGTAATTATTCTAGCAGAACTATGTCAGTATAACTCCCCTTGTGAATACTACTCTGGAAAAAGCAATTTTATTCTGATATAATTACTTCATTTATTATTCCTCTGTTACTTTCCTACTGAACCCATCTTTTAAACATTTGTCCTTCCCATGAGTCCTATTTAAAATATCATCTCCCTTGATCATTTTACCAATTACGTATCTTTTCTCTCCCTCCCTAGTACTCTCTTTATTCTCTCATGCTGCACTCTTTCAGCAGCATTATTTTCTCCCTTTCCCTCCCCTCTCTGCTCTGTTCTTTTTTTGCCAGTTTATGCGTAGCTCTGACTTCACTTTTGCAGCTCTCTGCCATCAGCCCTGGTACCTTTCCTAAATAAACCGGCTCTTAAGCTGTAGTGAGAGCCCGTGCTTCAGCAGTGCATGAAGCTGTAGTGCCTTGGAATAGAGAGGGGTGGAAGAGTTGCTAGCATCAAGTAAAGCCCAGTTGCCCTTATTACCCCTCCCTTGGCTCCAGCCAGCCTCTGTGTGCTCCCACGTTGCCCCACTCCTGCACAGGGTGCAAATACTCACCCTCGTGTTCTGTATTGCGAGCCTCTCTTCTCCGGGCAGCGCAGTGGCTCTCACGCTCCACACCAGCAGCAGAACGGACACCAGGCTGGCCACCAGCTGCATGATGTACAGGCTGTGATTACTGCGTGGAATTAGGAAGACTGGGAGAGGGAGCTGTTTCTGGGCTCTCTTCTGCCTCTGACAATGGCTGCAGCCCCTTTTATAGCCCTCCCCCTCGCCCGGTGGGTGACGCAAACAATTAAGTCTATATCAAAGGCAAATTAGACTTTGGAGAGGTTGTTAACACTCGGCTGCTTGAGTGGGATACTTCAGTGCCTCTGGACTTTCGATGTGCCAGACCTGCAGAGACTGAGGAAGCAAAGGTTTGGGACTCTCCAGTAACATGCTGCTTCTTCAGCCTGAGAAATCGTAGGCACTATCTGTGCATCTCCACGTTAGCTGAATTCTGCTTGGGAACATAATGTTGGATAGAATAGGCCACCAGCTTGCACAAACCTCTGGCCAATGTCAGATGATTCAGAGGGAAGAGGTAAAACTCCTGGCCAGCAGTACTTAGATATGGGCTTGGACCCTCAGCCTGTATGTCCAGACAGCTCCACACTGCAGGGGTATTTGGATCTGGATCTCTGCATCCGGTGATGCATCTCACTGTGGAGTGTCAATATACCTGACTCTCCCTTTATGGTAACTGGGGAACACAGGCTGTAGCTGTGCAGTAATATAATCTAACCTGCAAATTACCTGGAAGCCAGTTGGTGGTTACTGGTTTTTGTTCCTGGAATTGTTTCAACACGTCTTGAACTTATCCCAGAAGTAAAGGTCAACACAGTGAACCCTGACCTGGAGATACTGAGTTTAAATGTATTAAAAGGAAAGATAAGTACTGAAAGGCTGGTCACAGCTGAACAAAGCTCATGGTATGCTGGCACTGACTGCTTGGAGTAAGCATCCAAGTGAGATCGGTTTGTGGGCCAGCAGAAGGTGCTATGAAGCACTGCTGTCTGCTTTGCATCACCCCCATCATGTGGGATGGCATCCACTGTCACACACATGTGGGGTGTGGGGACAGAGCTCAGAGCCCATCTCAGCCCTTTCTCCAGAACCACTTGTGCCTCAGGGCAAGTCCTCTCCCACTCTAACAGCAAAGGTAAATTGTTATCCTAATTTAGCACATAAAAAAGCCCCACAGGGAGGTGAGGTGGCCAAGGGGATGCTGTTTCAGAACTAAGAACAGAAGGCAGGAAAACCTGTTCCCCACTTCTACAGCTTACCAGCATTACCGCTCCTGGAAACAGCATGGTGAAGCTCTGCCTGCAAATAATCCAGCTCCTAATGCCAGTTACACCACCCTGGATGCTCTTGAGGGAAGAGATGCCATCACTTCCGTGCATATTTGAAAAGAAATGTCGGATTCCCTCACTGAAAGATACAAAGAAAGAAACCCTTTTCTGAGTCCTATGGACTAGTGGGGAAAGGTAACAATCTAGCAATTTCTAGAAATTATTTTTCCTCAGAAAACTTTGTAACCTCCTTGTTCTTGCCCCCCCTCCCCGCCTTGTGAGAGCTGGCTTCAACACACCAGTTTCAGATGAAACATGACCTGCTTCCTTTTAAACTGATCTCGCTGGTTTATCAGAATTGCGGTGTTAGCCCTTCATAATGGATTCTGTCAAACACTTCCCAGCCTGTCTGGGGCTTGAGACAAGAGCAGTGAAGGACCAGGCTCCAGCAAGCAGACAAATCGCAGGGACCTGCCAAGTGACCCATGGCTGATTTGCTCCAGGAGAGGTAGAAGCGGGGGAATAGCAAATGCAGAAAGCACACTTGGCTGCTCAAGAGGAGCAAAGGGCAGGTACCTGTGAGTGCGAGATGTGCCTGGGCTGACAGGCAGGCAGAAAGTGAATCCCGTACCGCTGGTTATGAGGCAGGACTGAACCTCCTGGGCCTGCTAACCCCAAAAGCTAAGACAGACAGCAGAAGCAGAGCAGCCAGGTCTCCATGCTGGGGGCCATCTGCTCTAACTAAACTGCTTGTTCTAATACATATGGTTTCATTTGCAGCTTTGCCTTCTGAATGGGCTGTTTTCTGCAATGTTTCATTGAGCAAATGGGGTCACAAGTATGACAACGCTCTTCTTCCAAAAAAGGGATGATGTGCTGAGCCAGAGATCAGATTCGGGGGAGATCCACAGGGATGTGAACGGTGACCAGGCTGCTGTGAAGGCTGTCCTGGGATTAAGGGGCAATAGTAAAATAATTGTTACCTCTTGAGGGGGTTGGCTTTGGAGAGAGTTTCTGCCCAGATACACCAGCACCAAATGTGTGGCCTTGCTGATGAGCACAGGCAAAACCTGTACTTGCAGCCTGGTGTCTCTTCCCAGCTGGGAGAGAGTGGAATAGGGACACACCAAAGCACTTGCACTCTAGTGCCCACCACAGGGCTCTGGTCCTCTGGCCCCTTTGCAGAGCCCCTGCTGGTTCTGCTGCCACCATCATAGGCTATAGGCACCATCTTCTTCTTCAAAGGAAGTAAAATAACTCTGTGGTGATAACATTTGGGCTTTTTAAGTTCAACATACAGCACCAGGATTGTTCTTCATTCCTACTGTTCTCTATTCCCTGTCACATTGGCTGACCTTTAAGAAGGTCTCAGTTATATTTTTTGCCAACCCTTAAATGCTTATCGCTCTATACAGGAAAGGTTAAAGGCCTTCCCTTGGAGCAATAAGCGTTTCTGACAATTCTTTCCTTGTTTGCCTCTTATCACTTTCTCTCCCTCTTATCTGACTCACCTCTTCAGAAGTCTTCTTCCTTGATGCTTTCTTCTGTCTGGAGTTGCACGTGGTCTGAGTGGGCTTCTACCACTTTACAGTGAGAGCAGATTGATCTGAAATCAACACACACATGATGACATCCTTGGGAGCCTGGTAAGGGTGGGGGTGCTCCAGAGGGAAGGTCAGCATACAGTAACTTGAACTGGCCTGGCTATGGGTTTTGTGGGTTTTGGCTCACAATTAGCATGGGTTCAGAAGTACAGCAGAATACGTGTCCACAGTCACATAAGACAACCTCCATCTTTTTGTGATTAAGGGAGCACAAGAAACATGCAGTGGAAGACATTTTATATTTCAAGAAAGAGGTCCCTGACCTCTCCTCGGTGTGTCTGTACAGCAGCAAAGACGAGGCATCGCTGGAGTACAAGAGCTAAGACTACGTCTGGCACCAAACGCCACATTAAGGAATGAGATAACTACTCAATTGTTTTCCTTTGCAGTCTTCTGCCCATTTGCTGCCTGCTCTGGGTTCAGATCACAGTCTTTAAGCATGTAGCAGAATTTCATCAGGCTTCCAGAACAATGCCTGTTTGCCAAAGGTGAGGTACTCAGCTGCGGCTGAAGGAAGGGTTCAAATGCTTCTGCTTTCCTGTCATTGGAGCCCTTTTTCTCTGCCCTCAAGAGTCCCCACTTGGAAAGGCCAATGCAATAAATAAAGCAATAGTCAGCTGACAGTTGGGAGCCTTCCTGGAAGGCGAAACCAATTTGTTCATGGGCCCGAAATCGCAGCTCATTTATCAGAGCAGGCTTGCAGCATTCCCTCGCACTGCTCTCCCCAAGGGCATGCAGGTGGCTGTTCCTGCTCTGGCTTCTCGTCGGCGCTAATCTAACAAACCCAAGGAAGAGACTGCATGAGTGTGGGCTGGAGCCTCCCGCTCCTCTCCGAGAGCTGCAGAGCAGGTGCAGGAGGAGGAGGAGGAGGGGAGCACCGCAGGGATGCTGCTGTCACAGCACACACCACTACAGCCTGCTGCAGCTCTCCGTGGAGGGGCAGTTGTGCTGCCTTCTCTGTCTGTGACCCCAAAGGGACCGCAGGAGGGCAAAGGGAGGGCGAGTGTAACGCTTCAGTGGTATGCTCAAAACATCATCTTATTTCAAAATGCACACAGAGTTAAACATTTCAGTTATCCCACCAAAAATCTTCCTCAAAAATAACTGCTTGCTATAAAACACTTCTGTTTCAAAATACCTCTGTTTTCCACTGGAAATGTTTAGCCCAGCTCCAAGTGGGAGGTGTTTCAGGCTGTGAAGCAGGCTGAGGATGCCTGGGGTTATCACCTACTGACATACGAGCTGACCTCTGTTACACCAGACTTGTCCTGTTGGTGCCAAAATTGGCTGGACGAGACTCGGATGGAAATGTTTCTTTGCCATTTGGATTTCCTGAGGGATTGCTCACACACTGCGCCTTGTGGCAGTTTAGTCAGAAAGAGCTCCCCAGGGACGTGAGCACACGGGGCTGGCAGCACCGCAGAGGGGACTGCTCAGCTGGGAGAGCTTTAAGCAGGAATTTGCATGGCGTGGGGTTCTGGTTTCTCCTCTCCTACAGCTGAAGGGAGATGAATGACACAGGGTCATCGCGTGCATCGCTGTGCCCTTATCCCTGGCACACACAGTGAGCTGTGTCAAGCGAAGTCCTTCCCGTTCAGTACCAAGGAGAGGGCAGCCCCCTCCTGCGGGGTCGCTGCTCCTCACCACTGGCCCTTCAAACCCCATTAGCCACAGAACTGACATCCCTGGAAGGTTTGCCCCAACATTTGTAATAATCCCCTCTGCCTTTATCTGCTTCACACATCACTGTGCTGTAATTGAGATTCCCTGGTCCTAATTCCCCACCTTTTGCGTATTTTAAAAGCACTTAACTCCATCCTAAACACGACCAGGAAAGAGCGTCACCGAGACTTCTCAGTATTTAACTTGGTTACATTTCTCATCTTCCTGTTTAACAACATTTTGTCCGACTCATTTGCTAGACCTGAGCTGCTGTTTCACACTTTCCCTCTTTCCCCCCCATTTTATCAAGGGAACTTTCCTCTCCCTGAACTCGGTGGCACTCGTTATTCCGTTTTTGACTGTTTGCTTACTGAGGCTGCTGTTCCGTGCTGAGAGATGAATTGTCATTCTGACTTCAGCAGCCTCTTGCTCCAGCCAAGCTCCATCAATAATTCAGCCAGGCCTCGATAACATTAGCTCTGGATGAATATGACACTCATGCCAATTAACTGGCTGAAAGGGCTCGGGAGATACAGGCAAGAGATTTCTTTTAATT